CACACACAGCAGGCTTAGCAGGCACCTGGCTGTTGCAGGAGCTCGAAACCCGTCAGCAGGGTTAGAGGATGCCAGGTTACACATGGGGCAAAGGTGTCTGGCGTGGGAGTTACCCCTCCTCCTAGAAGCAGGGAGGGTAGCCCAGCTGGGACACAGCCACTCCCAGGGGGAGGCGATTCACTGACCAGCGCTGGCCACATGTCCTAAGCTCTCATGCGCCCCTCAGTCCCCGAAGGGGCACCACAGTGTCCTCCATGGAACAGCGCGTGGGAGAGCTGCCCCGGCCCTACTGGCATATCCTTGGGGCAGGGGCAGCCTCAGCGCTGGGTGTCCAAGGCCCTGGGCTTGTAGACAGGGACATCCTCGTCCCAGAGGGCAGGCCGCCCCTTAATAATGTCGGCCGCTTTCTCTGCGATCATGATGGTGGGGGCATTCAGGTTGCCGCTGACCACGCTGGGCATGATGGAGGCGTCGACGACCCGCAGGTTCTCTGTGCCCAGGACCCTGGTCTGTGGGTCTACCACGGCTGCGGGGTCCGAAGACTGGCCCATCTTACAGGTGCACGAGGGGTGGTAGGCGCTGTCGGCTTTTGCCCGCACAAAGGCGTCTATCTCTCTGTCGGACTGCACGTGGCTCCCGGGCTGGAGCTCCTTCCCCCGGAAAGGATCCAGCGCTTTCTGTGCAAAAATCTCCCTGGACAGCTTCACGCACAGACGGAAGTCTCTAACGTCAGAGTCTGTGGAGGAGAAGACACAGGTAAGACGCTTCCTCCCACCTGTCAGGGCTCCCGGAAGCTCAGTAAGCCAGCCAAGTGGACAGTGGATCACGAGGTGCTGATCACCTTGCTGTCAACGGGTACACTGCTACGGAGCAGAAACACAGCCAGCCTTTTCCTTGTCTGTAAGGGGGGGTGGGGGGGGCTGTGGGTGCCCATATGCGCCCAGCTGACCCTCCCTGTACCTGCACCTTCTGAACACTGTTGACAGGATGAGTGGCCCAGCTAGTCAGTTACCTGTGGACAAGTAGTTGGGTTGGATCACAGGATGGTCCCGGGGGTTGGTGCTTCGCAGCTTGAGCCAGCCTACACTTGTGCCCCTCATGGTCCCCACATGCACCTGCAGGAACCAGAGGCGTCAGCAGTGGGACCTGACTTCCTTTTAGCACCCGCCCACCTCTCACCCCCGTTCTCATGAATGGCTGCCAGACCAGAAGACGCCACCCCAACTCCTGCAGACCGAGTCTGTCCATCTCTGCAGCTCAGGGTCTTCCCCCTGCACTGTGCAGACTAGCTGCTCTCCCCTCAGCCTTGCTGAGCAGGGCAGGCTGCTGTGCTGCCCTGAGGACCCTGTGTGATGGGAGACGGCAGCAAGGAAGGGCCTGTGGGGCCGAGACAGCAGCTGACCTGGTAAGCCTCCTGCTGGGTGGGCACCCGCCCGTGGTCAATCACTTGGGAGGGCAGGAAGTGGAACTGGATGTCCGGGTGGGGAACCCCAGGCTGGCTCCGGATGAACCCACCAGTTTCTAGATGGGCAGTGGCGCCCTGCCCTGAGGACAGAGAGAGAGAGAGAGCACGTGATAGTCCCCGTGTGTGGCTACACGCTAGTCTAGTCACTGTTCCCTGGGTCTCTGGTCAGCCCACTCCCTGCTGCCTGGCTCACTCATGTACTTGCCAGCTCTTAAGTATCATGCAAGCCAATCCCTTGAAGTCCATCAGTCTCTCCTTCTCTCTCTGAACCCCAAACTGAGCCCCTTGCTGTTGAATGGTTGTGGCTCAGAGCGACTAGAACTGGCCCTTTGGGTTTCCAAGGCTCTCATCTTTCCTGACTGCTCCAGCGTGCTAAGAAACAGCAAGAAGTGGACGCTCCAGATGGACCCACTCTTCCCCCGTCTGTTTCCACCTAGCTCTGGGTGGCTACAGATAGGTATGCACACATACACGGGAGTGGAGAGGGAGCCACTGATTCTGACTAGACAACCCTAAAACAAGGCGAGCGCCAACGTCCGCAGCCCTCCTCCGCGTCCCGTGCTCTGTTCTGCTGGTTGGACCCAAACCTTCTTCTCTGTGTCCTCCTCCTCAGACTGGGCTCACCAGCGCCACTGCCTGGATGCGCCTGACCCAGAGGACAGACTAGGGCACTTCAGCTTCAAAACACACCAAATGCCTACCTCCAGGGACAGTGTAAAAATTCTCCTCCTGCTCAGTCACGGTTCTGAAAGCCTGGCATGTCCCACACTGTCGCTCTGGGCTTGTTTCCTTCTCGTCCCCTAAAAGCTATGTGCACCTCACCCCTAGTACACAGTAGTGTCACCTTGCTCTGAAATAGTTCTTTTAAATCTTCAAAGAGATGCAGACAGACAGGACGGCACCTGAAGGAATGCTCCCGGGAGGGCCCTACTGCAGAGGCTCTCCATTTCTGCTCCCACATGTTCTCACGGGCACTGCCTGTGAGGCGGCCCGGGGTGGGTGGGTGCTGACTCTTTTCATCACGAAGCACACAGCAAATGTGGAATGGAAAGTTACTAAAGCCCTTTGCCTGGACAGTGCCCAGAGCTTACAGCTAGGCAGCAAGCTGGAACAGACATGCTGATTCTCATGGCACCTTCCCTCTGCAGACCCCAGATGGTCCCCAGGGGGCAGGCCCTGTGTGCCCATCCCTGTGTTGCATAAGGTCACTGGATTCCATACAAGCCAAGCCCAGCTGTGCGCCAGTCACCTGTGAACCTCCAGAGCCACTCCAGGCCGATCCGGACCTTCTGCATGGGTCTCTGTGCCGAGTGCAGCGTGATGGGGCGGGTGCACTCCTGCTGGATGTACAGTTCCAGGTGGTCCTGGAGGTTCTGGCCCACTCCTGAAACAGGAGGGGTGGTCAGGAAACCCAGCTACACAGGGGGCTTCGCTGGCATCCCAACACGCCCCCTCATTTTGAAAGGCTCTCCTTTCTACTTACCCAGCCAACTCCTGCTTGCTCCAACCTCGTCTGGCCTCCCCCAGACGTGGGCAAAGCCCTGGTCCCTCACCCACGGCCTTCCCCCAGATTTGACCACTTCTGGGTGTCATCCTCCTCTAAGCTCAAGGGGACGCTGGTCACTGCCACTGACCAGCCCGGCCTCTTCAGATGTGGTCCACATGTGAAAGGCCCTGCCCTCCAGTTGGTGATCTGACTACTGGCCTGGTTGAGGTGACTCACTGGGAGCAGCGTCCTCAGGGCTGCTGAGGACTCCTGTGGCGAAGGGGTAGGGTCTCCCTCTTGCCACAAAGTCACCATGGTGACGACATGCTAGTCCTCTTCTCTTAGTGGGTTACTGATGGGTAAGGAAGCGGGGAGGGTTCAGGGAATGGAATCCAGGAGGACCTCAGTCACCTGGGTAAACAGTCCCGGGGTAAACACTGCCCACCCCATTCTGTTTATGAGGCACTCACCTGGAAGGTGGCACACCACAGGGATGCCCAGTCTCTTGAGGTCATCTGCGTTCCCCACGCCTGAGAGCATGAGCAGCTGTGGGGAGTTGATGGCGCCTCCACTGAGAATCACCTCCTTGCTGGCGTAAGCCTGGGGGGGGGGGCACATGTTCACACTGCCCTTCTCCAGCTCAGGGACCAAGAGGTGGCCTGCTGGTGAAGGACTGTGGGGGAGGTGTGCAGTCAGGACTGTCCCAGCAGTGAGGACAAGGGACTACGGAGTGTTCTCATGAATACCGTGCACGGACTAGTGCATGCCACCCCAGCCTGGCGGTGAAACGAGGGGCTTCAGTGAAATGAGCAGAGCCCGCGCTGCCTGAGGGGCTGCAGAACCCTGAGCACGCAGACGTGTAACAGTTTCCTTGGCACATAATACACCTGTACACGTGTGCAGAATGGCAGGTGCCCCGGGGGTGGGGGGGGTGGGTTACACCCTGCTAGACTCTTCCTCGGAAACCCACAGAGACGGCTCTACCCTGTCCCAGATGGTCTCGACAGCTGGCCCAGTGGTGGAGAGGGGTGTATGGGGGTGATGCCCTGAGAGGAGGTGTTGATTGGGCAAGGAATAAAAGGGGCTTGTGGGGGCCACTACGGGTTCCTTGGAAGTGGCTGGACTGGGGGCTTCCTGACCTCCAGCTGCTCACAGCAGGGGGGGGAGGGGGTTGTCACCACCCACTCCTCTCCCGGCTGCCGCTGTTGCTTACCCTGTGGCTCTGGCCGTTCTTGACGTACTCCACCCCCACTGCCCGGGTGCCTTCAAACAGCACCCTGTGCACCAGCGTCTGGACTTCGGCCTTCAGGTTGGGGCGGCTCAGTGCCGGGTGCAGGTAGGCACAAGCAGTACTCCAGCGCTTGCCTGTGCGGACAGAGTGGACATCAGCCACAGCCCCCTCCCAGTGCAAGCGAGCCTGCCTAGTCCTGCCCTGCCCTGCCAGCATCACCCGAGGAGCCCAGGGCAGCCGGTGGGGAGGGGGCCTGACTCAGCCGTGCCTCTGACCCCGTGAGGAAAGGCAGCTCCGGCACCTGGGGATAGAGGATGATGTCCCCCTTTGAGAGCTCTGCGGAAGCCTCAGGCTCTGTCGGTGCAGAGCTACTCTCCATTACCCTCCCCAAGAGGGGTCCAGAGAGGGCACCCTGCCTCATGGGCCTGGCTGGGGTTGCACTGCGGCCTCCAGGCCACACTGTGCTTCCACCTGATGACCTGGGCTGGCGAGAGGGGAGGGCCCACGCTACCTTCGTGGATGGTCATGTCCATCCAGCCGAATCCCTCCTGCTGGAAGCCGTTCATGTCCTCCGTGAAGGGGTAGCCCGCCTGCTGCGCCGCCTCTAGGAACGCCTGGTGCAGCGGATGGTTGCTTTTGCCCCGGGACACGCGCAGAGGGCCCTCGCCGCCGCGGTACCTGCTGGCGCCCAGCTCGTGGGCCTGCGCCTTGCGGAAGTAGGGCAGGCAGTGCGCGTAGTCCCAGTCCACGGCGCCCTGCCGGTGCCAGCGGTTGTAGTCCTCGGCGTGCCCGCGGATGTAGACCATGGCGTTGAGCGACGACGAGCCGCCCCAGACGCGGCCGCGGGGCCAGTACAGCGCGCGGCCGTCCAGGCCCGGCTGCGGCTCCGTGTGGTAGTACCAGTTGTACCTGTCGTCGCACAGGTTGGCCACGAGGGCCGCGGGCATGTGGATCTTCCACAGGAGCCGCTTGCTCCCCACGAGCACGTCCTTGGGCCCGGCCTCCAGCAGCAGCACGCTCTCCTGGGGGTCCTCCGAGAGCCGCGCGGCCAGCACGCAGCCCGCCGAGCCCGCGCCCACCACCACGTAGCTGTGCTCCTCCCGGCGCCGGGCGCCCACGCTGACCAGAGCGCGCGCCGCTGGCGCCCGGGCCCCGCGCAGCCAGCCGCGCAGTGCGCACCACATGCTTCCAGCCCGCGTCCTCTTCAGCCCGGGTGGGTCAAGGAAACGCCCACTTTTTCTGGAAAGGGAGAGTCTGAACTGAAGAGAGTTCAGACGGGGGCGGGGCTGGCGGAGTGGCTCCGCAACCACTGCCGGGCAGTCCCTCTGCGCTGACTCAGGACCACCCCCACAGGGCGTCTCGGACTAAATCTGCAGGCGGCGGCAGAGTGGCAGG